CACCCACCTTCGGAGCACCCCGTGCCCGCCCGACGCAGTGACCCCACGGTGGGACCGTCACATCACCCGGAGCTTGTCCAAAGGGAAACAGCTCCTCGAACAGCCAGGGAACAGGGATTTGCCGTCGGAGGGTCCGTCAGACCCCAGCCCTGTGCAGCAGCACCTCACCCCAGCACTCCACCCGCCCCAGCACCCATCCTCTGCCAGGATTTGCTCCAGCCTTGGGAACGGTCCTTCCCCTCTGCTCCAGGGTCCCTCCCAGCTCAGCAGGTGGTTGAGATTTTTGGTGAAAACCAGGAAATTGGGATATGGAGTTTTCTCCTTCACTCAAGGGCATCGCAAGCACCAAACCAAACAGGGCTCGTTTTTTATGGGGCTGAGCAGCTCCATGAGAGCGAACCGTGTCTCCTTCCACAGTTGGAGCATTTCTCCCATCGTGGTTTTGCTGGTCTGGACGGGTGGAACTGGCCATGGCCCGATCCTGAGGGGACACAGAGAGCGTGACCATCCCTGGGGGGGCTCGAAGCCCCAACAGTGAGGTGCTGGGCTGCGACTTGCCCCAGCCCACGGCTCCGAGCGGGACCCCAGCGCTGCTCTGCAAGGTCAGTTATTCCTTTGCCAGCAGCTGAAAGTTCCCTTTGCTGCTTTAAACACTTGTTTCCTATTAGTAAAATAAGACTGGTGAGAAAAATCTCTCTGGGTTGTTTAAACTTCTACCAGGGTTTACAGAAGAGGGGAGGGGAAGGGGGAGAGGCTGTGGGTTTCCCTAACCAGGACAGGCTATTACAATCAAAAACATTATTCAAGGGAAAGAGAGAGAGAACGGAGGGGGAAAAAACATCCCTTTTAGAAAACACTGGAGCTGCTGTCTGTGCGCTGTTTTTTTTTTTTTTTTTCTCCTTCCCTCGCCTTCGCACAAAGCAGCTATTACTGGCCCCGACCACAACAAATTAATGGGGTGGGAGAGGGAGGTGTGAATGGAGGGGTCTGTACAGGAAGGGTGGCGAGCCCCCCCGTCACCCCCAGTCCCGCCGGCAGGAGGGAACCCCGCGCTGACCCCTCGCCCTGCAGCAGCCCTGGGGGAGAGCAAGCCCCGAGGGGCAGGAGGAAGGGGAATTCAACCCAGGAAGGATCCAAGAGGAGAAGCCCAGACGGGTGGGTTTGCCCCTGCTCTCCTCCTCCTCTCTCCTCCACGTGCTCCCCCAGCAAAACCCATCAGGGCTCCCCAAAAACAAGAATGGGCCCTGGCCCTACGGCTTGGGCCACCTCCCCGGCAGCGCTGGTTGCCCGGTGGGTCTGGCACATGCTGGGGATGGGGCTGCAGCCAGCTCGGCGCGTACCACAAGCAACGGGCTACAGCGAGAGACGTGCCATGTGCCACGGCACGCGCGCACCACGGCGAGCAACGCGCCACCGCTCGCGGTGGGTCACGGCGTCCTCAACGCCAACAGGGACCCGCTGGGGCCAGGCCACCCACTTCTCCCAGCTCTTGGCGGGGAGGCAGCCACGCATGGCCCCTCCCAGATCAAGATTTTAACCTGTTTTCCCAAGGGAGGTGGTGGTCGGCCTCACACTGCGTGGGGCAGGCGTCGGGCACGGGCACGCAAAGCGTGCGGCGTGGCAAGAGGCCACCAGAGCCCCAGCGCCTGGCCGCAGGTGTCCCTGCACGTGGGGCTCCTTGCTCCTGCCTTGAGACATCTGCAGGGCAGAAAGGACCTTCTGGGCTCAGCGACAGGCCGAGAAGGGCCCCATGTCATCTCCTGGCCTCCGGTCCCCCCGTGTACCCACACCACCACGCTCCCCATCCCTGGGACCAGTCGTTCCTTCAACGTTTCCTCCCACTGCAGTTCTGCCTGAACATTTCTTGGACTTTGGGGCCTTTTGAGTCTTTCCAAGGGACTCTAATCCCATCAGGATGAGGACAACTCTGTGATAACGTGGAGGCCAGAACGCACAAGCCTTGCTCTTTGCTCTGCCTGGCTTCACTGCACGAAGGGTACGTCCACTCGCTGCTCAGGGACCAGCTGAGCATCTCCAGAGATATCCGGGTGCTAAAGCGAAGAAGATTTACCTCCAATGCCTCCGCTGTGAAATAAAACCATCCCAGGGGACATTCCTCTCCCCCTTGTCCGCCGAGCCGCGCACACCTCACACCTTCTCCGTAGCTCCCGTGTCGAGCTGACGGCAACACGGTTGGTGAGAAAGCAACTGAATCAAAGCTGCATTGTGTATGGGGAAAACAAAGGCGTCCTTATTACGGAAATAGGTGGGGATTCTTGGAAGGCTTCCCCCGACTGCAAAGAAACACGTTGTAAAACAGATGCACAAAGACAGACTGGAGCAGCCTGGCCCAGGGGAGACAAACCTCTGAGTGCCCCCGGCGAGCTGCGGGACACGGAGGAGATGGTGGTGGGGAGATGAGGCAGTGCGGCCAGAGGGACAGTCATCAGGATGAAATGTTTAGAGACGTTCTCTCTAAGTCTCTCAAGAGAAGAAAGTGGGGAATAACTGATAGAGAGGTGTTAGAAGCAGCTTCCATCTGGTCTGCTGGGCCACCCGTGTCCAGCTAGAAGACATTTTGCAGATGAGGAGGACAACCTGTGGCTCATCCCCAACCTACACGTCTAAAGAAAGAGCAGCCCAGGGGAAACCACACAGGACTCCACCCAGGGACGCGTGTGCGCTGTCACCAGCTCTGCCACTGGCACCTTGGCCCGCGTGGGAATGTCACTTGGGTGTCTCCTCCATTTGGGCACAACGGGCTCAGGGTGTCCTTGGAAGCTTCGAGGATCAAGGAGCCAACGTGTGTCGGACACGTTACCTTTCCCAGCTCTCTGCCTCAGCTTCCCCGTTTGTAAGATGGTGGCGGTGACAGCGATGTCCTCCATAACCTCCTCCATCTGGGAACAGAAACGCCACTCGGACACGTGCTGTCCACACGTGAGCTCTGCAGAGAGCCAGTGCTGCTGGGATGGGTCTGCCCTAGCGTTGGCTGATCCTCTTCTGCAGCAGAGCCCAGTGCTGCAGTTTTAAGGAAGAAAAGGTAAAGCCATGGCATGCTGGTGGAACTCCACCATGGACCAGCTCCTCGTGGCAAGAGAGAAAGACTCCGTGTCCCCCGGGAACATACCGGGGCTGGACCTCCTACCCCCAGCTCGCCTGCCAACTGCTATGGCACCACGCTGGGAGACTCCAAGTTCACTTTCAAAAAAAAGTTGGCATCTCTGCATATTTGCAAGGTCAAGGCACAGAAAGCCTTCTATAAGCCTAAACCCTTGTTTTCAAGGGCCTATTCTTTTACAAACTGATTATGAAAGCAGGCTACATATTCTTAACAAGCCCCTTTTCACTACGGCTTTCAATTCCCTCCAGTGTATAATGTGCATGTGTATTCTTGCATGGCAGGCCCTTACATACTGTTTTGATTGTTATCGTCTTGCCATGAAAGGGCCGATTGTTTTGGGTTCCCAAGATTACATCATGGCTCCCACTCGGGCCGCCCGTCGAGGTGTTTGATCCGGGCTCGCAGGTGGGAAGGAGCTCTGCGGCGAGCGCGGGGCCCTCGGCGTTTCCCCATACCTGCCCTACCTGTTAAACACAGCTGCCAGCACGCTCTGCCCCGGCGTCACCGGAGGCTCTCACGCGAGGAGACGGCCGGGGAGCTGCTGGGGGGAGCAGGGTGGGAGCCGTCCCCTCAGCCAGCCCCGGCGCCCGCCGGACCACGCGCCCACCCTGAGCCCCATCCACGGGCACAGGGGGCTCTGGTGACTCTATTGCTTTAGGTGTTTTGTGTTTTAATGGGTAAAGCTGAAAAAGCAGGTGGGCGGATGGTACTCGTGCAGATTTGCCCTTCGATAATGCAGGATCTTTCATGTCAAACACTCAAAACCAATTTGAAGAAAAAAAAAAAGTGGATACAAACCTACCGTGCCTCCTCCTGAGTGCAGCCACCAGCCCCATTACCCACAGGGACACAGAAATGTATGGAACAACATGGGAACCCATGCTGGGCAGGGGATGCAGGGTGTACCCCCGTATCAGGGACAGGATGAAGGGTGTACCCCCATTCTGGGCAGGGGATGCAGGCTGTACCCCCATCCTGGGCAGGGGATGCAGCACGTGCTGCCCATCACACGATGCCTTGAGCCAGAGAGACCTCAGCTCTCCTCCCCTCCGACAAAGAAACGACCAGGCTGGGAGCCGCTGCACAGTTTTCAGGTTACACGGACACAGATTGGAAATTACGTGTGAATGAAATCCGACAAAAATAGGCACCCTGTTCTCATTTGGAAGCCGACAGCAGAACCTCCACCCGAACCGTGCGACAAGCACGGTGCTTTCCAAATGGCACCAAAGACAACTGGGGCATCTGGAAGGAAAAAGGGGAGAGGAGAAGCGGCAGGGAAGAATTTGCGGCACAAACCAGGGAAAGAGCTGCAGACACGGGGAGGCAGGAACGGGCTGGATGGTTGCAGAGACACTCATCTCCAGGGAGAACCACAAAAGCAGACAAATGAAAGGGGCACGGGTTTGAGGGTTACATAGCCTGGGCACCAGCTGCTCCACCAGACTGCTCCCAGGAATAGAGAATCTCAGATTCCCAGAATCATCCGGGCTGGAAAAGCCCCTGCAGCTCCTCCAGCCCAACCATGACCCTCACCCTGACCCTTCCCAACTCCCCCAGACCCCTCAGCGCTGGCTCAGCCCGACTCTTCAACCCCCCCAGGGATCCCGGGGACTCCCCCCTGCCCTGGGCAGCCCATTCCAACGCCCAACAGCCCCTTCTGCACAGAAATCCTTCCTCAGAGCCAGCCTGACCCTGCCCTGGGCAGCTTGAGGCCATTCCCTCGGGGCCTGGCGCTGGGGCCTTGGCTCCAGAGACTCATCCCCCCTCTCTGCCCCCTCCTGGC